GGGGGTGTGTTTACGAGGGTTAAGGGGGGGGGGGGGGGGGGGGGGGGGATTCGTATTATTATACAAAGTAAAATGAGAGAAAACAGAGGACGCAACGAGAGAATACTTGGACGGTGACACAGGACGAAAGGAAAAGCAGTAAGCAGTCATGGCTTCCATTTCTAAACAGGTCACCGTGGCGCTAGAAATGTCAAAAATGGACTAGAGATGTTGCTATAGCAACAAGGTAACTATTAAGGCACCATGGCAGCATTCTGCTGTCGCTAGGGGTGTCACAGAAAAGCTATTCCTAGGGAGGTCACCATGGAAACACAGCAGCCACTACGTTTTGCATATGACCATGCTGGCTCAACCGTCACTAGAAATGTCGCCGTGGTGACACAGTAGCCGCTTCTAGAGGTGGTCGCCATGGTGACACTGCAGCAGATACTAGGGGCGGCTCGGGGACAAGATGGACGCCATTAACAGGGCTTCTTGGAGATGCTGGTGAGGATCTGGTGTTGCTGAGCTCTGTACGCGATGACGAAACTGTCACCTAAAATTCTGCCGCGTCCTTCGTCGTCCACCATACCCATGAAGAGGTAACTGGAACCTGCCAATGCACAAAGTGTACCCGTTATCAGTGAACACCGGCCATGCAGACTGCAGAGCATCTCTCCCCCCCCCCCTCCTTCCCCGACAGATACATATTGATATATTGTGCAGATGATTCCTTCCTCTCTAGAGATCTGCAGAACATTGCTCCGTCCCCCCCGACAGATCCATATTGATATATTCTGCAGATTATCCCATCACTGACCTCTCTGGAGCTCTGCAGAACATTGCTCTGTCCCATCTCCCCTTCCCCCTGACATGTACATATTGATATATTCTGCAGATTATCCCATCACTGACCTCTCTGGAGATCTGCAGAACATTGCTCCCTCCCATCTCCCCTTCCCCCCGACAGATCCATATTGATATATTCTGCAGATTATCCCATCACTGACTTCCCTAGAGATCTGCAGAACATTGCTGCATCCCATCTCCCCCTTCCCCCTGACAGATCCATATCGATATATATTCTGCAGATTATCCCATCACTGACCTCTCTAGAGATCTGCAGAACATTGCTGCGTCCCATCTCCCCTTCCCCCCGACAGATCCATATTGATATATTCTGCAGATTATCCCATCACTGACCTCTCTAGAGATCTGCAGAACATTGCTCCGTCCCATCTCCCCTTCCCCCCGACAGATCCATATTGCTATATTCTGTGGCCTCTTTGGAGATCTGCAGAACATTGCTCCTCCTCCTCCTTCATGAATCCTAAGCACCTCAGTGTCCCCCTATATTACCTTTCTTCAGTATGGGGCATCGAGGACACTCGTTGATGATCTTTACGCTCGTGGTCGCTCCGGCCTCTTGAATGGTCAGGCCTTCCTGCTTGAAGGCTTGGATAATGTTGATGGTGGCCAGTAGAGTTCCCTCCACCTCTCCTTTGGTGATAGACTTCACCGACCCGGTCAGCACTGCGGAGAGAGGACAGGTGAAGGTCAGGATTGGGAGTATCAGGGACCCCAGACAGTCCCGGAGTTCAGGGAATCGACTGAGTTTTGATTGGATAACTGAACCATCCAAATCCCTCCAATGGTGGGACGAGGACAATCCTCCCGGACACTTTTCTCCTTTGGGGGCTTAGAAGGCGAGTCAGCCATCTTGGCTACCAGCATCTCCTGTGGACTGTAGGGGGGAAACCAATGCGAGCACAGAGGGAACATGCAAACTCCATACAGACACTGTCATGGTTGGGAGGTGAACTGAGGACTCCACTGCTGTAAGACACCACCGAGCGGTTGTGCTGCTCACCTATTCAGGGACAACTCCCCACATGGGGGCGCTCTGACTCAAGAAAACCCCTCTTGTAGATATTTCATTGACCTCCCTGACCCTTACGTTCCCTTTTACCCGTTTCTGGTCCATTGCAGTGCATTACCGCACCTGCAGCTTCTTGCACCCGGACGGACTATGTGCCGTTTGTTTTCAGTGCAGATTCCCATCACCTTTTCCATTAGGTCCGCGTCTAATTGGGTCCTCCATCGGTTCGCGCCATTTATTTAGAAAATATATATTTTTCACATTGAAAGGATCATTATATCAAATGACTGCACAGCATTCGTGTGCTCCAGCATGAGCAACCCCCCATCTACACCTAATAGGACCCCCTTAGGATAGTCGGGAACGGGGTCACAGCCTATATTGGTGGCTGGGGAACCTTGAAGTTTACCTAAAGTGAAGTCAAAAGATTTGGGTAGAACCGGGAATGCTTAAAACCCCCTTGCCTTCACTTCCTGTCCTGGAGAAATAACCAACAGGAAGTGAGTGGAAATCTCTCCTAGACAAGAGTAGACATTAATTGACCACCACTGAGGCTCATATACAATAGGAAGAATGTCTTCTGAATGGGGTAACAAGGACGGGATACCCTGATGAGAATTACCCAATAGTGATACTGCATATCCTTCAGGTTGAGCACTACGTTCTGATTGTTTCCTTGTCCCCGTTAAGGTGCCCATTCACTGCACGATTCTCGTATGAGAATCGCGTGAAATCCCGCGATCGTACGAGAATCGTGCAGTGTATGGAAGGCGTGCGACCGTTTCTAATGTACGGTCGCACGACTTTTGTATATCGAGCATGTTGGAAAACCAGCCGAGAATCGTACGGTTTTCGGCTGGTTTTTAACATGATCGAGAGATGACTGCCGAACGGGCCGGTGTGCGCACGCCCGTTCAGCATAGCAGTCATCGGTCCCATGGGTGACCCATCGTTCCTCCCCTCAGGGGGGCGGGCGTGCGATGATCGCAGGTACGATCTGCCTGTCAAAGATGGGCAGATCGTACGTTTTTAAAATTACTTTACAACCCTCGCAAGACAAATGTCTTGCGAGGGTTGTAAAGTGTATGGGCACCTTTAATCACATTCTTTCCTCTTACGTCTTCTATGAAGGCCGAGACCATCCTGGAAGAGTCTAGACCTACAGAACCAAGGTGACCACCTCTGAAATGCCCTCCATAATTCCCCTGTGCTGAGGGTGGACATCTTGTCCTTGGACAAGGAACTCCCCACCGCCCCCACTCACCTTCCTAAATGAGACCTTCAGATGGGTGATGGGAGTTTTGCCAAACCTACTAGAAAACCCGGAATGGCTTACCGAACTGGTTGGCGCAGTAGTGGTTTCCCAAAGTTCCCGTCTTCCGGCACTTCTCTGGGCACTTGGAAGGCGAACCTACAATTAACCAGAAGATTAAGGAAATGGTATAGTAAGCTTAACTGTACCTGGTCAGGTCTTGGATGGGTTTCAGTGTCAGTTTTAGAGACTTGCCCCTGGTTCCTCCACCCAGAACTCATATTTCAGTATTTGGAGAGCCAAATCCCCTATTCTGTCTCTCGGGGTCTGTAGCATTGTGATCTCTGCTCTCATTTCCTGGGTCTGTACACCTGCTGTGCCCATTATGAGGGGCCCCCACCATCCCTGTGCTGAGTTCCCGGGTCTGAACACCCGCTGTGCCCATTATGAGGGGCCCCCACCATCCCTGTGCTGAGTTCCCGGGTCTGAACACCCGCTGTGCCCATTATGAGGGGCCCCCACCATCCCTGTGCTGAGTTCCCGGGTCTGAACACCCGCTGTGCCCATTATGAGGGGCCCCCACCATCCCTGTGCTGAGTTCCCGGGTCTGAACACCCGCTGTGCCCATTATGAGGGGCCCCCACCATCCCTGTGCTGAGTTCCCGGGTCTGAACACCCGCTGTGCCCATTATGAGGGGCCCCCACCATCCCTGTGCTGAGTTCCCGGGTCTGAACACCCGCTGTGCCCATTATGAGGGGCCCCCACCATCCCTGTGCTGAGTTCCCGGGTCTGAACACCCGCTGTGCCCATTATGAGGGGCCCCCACCATCCCTGTGCTGAGTTCCCGGGTCTGAACACCCGCTGTGCCCATTATGAGGGGCCCCCACCATCCCTGTGCTGAGTTCCCGGGTCTGAACACCCGCTGTGCCCATTATGAGGGGCCCCCACCATCCCTGTGCTGAGTTCCCGGGTCTGAACACCCGCTGTGCCCATTATGAGGGGCCCCCACCATCCCTGTGCTGAGTTCCCGGGTCTGAACACCCGCTGTGCCCATTATGAGGGGCCCCCACCATCCCTGTGCTGAGTTCCCGGGTCTGTACGCCCGCTGTGCCCATTAGTGGCCCATGAAGGGTTTCCCATCATTCCTACTGGATTTTTAATTTGTTTGTATATGGGAAACAGAACATATGGGAACAATCCAAGGAGGGCTGCAAAACCCAGGTGGTGGGCAAAAAACTAAAAACACCCGAAGATGGCAAGGAACACCCTAAGCCAGGCAGAGTTTTGGGAGCACCTCTAGGTGGCCAGGAACACGCTTAATTCCCAGAGAGAGTATCAGCAACATCCCAATGGGGGCAGGGCAAAGCTCCATAAACATTCTGTGACACATTTTGGTACCCACATCTACCCAGTTGTAGGCCATAAACCTCAGACTAGAAATTTTACCTGAAGGAACTGGCAACTTTTCCCGTTTAGGTTTGGCAGTGGTGGCCAATCTGGCAGCCTTGGTGGGTTTGGGTTTTTGGGTGGGCTTGGCCGTGGCTGGTTTTGGCGTGGGTTTCAGGGTGGGCTTCAGGGTGGGCTTAGGCGTGGGTTTCAGGGTGGGCTTAGGCACGGGTTTCGGGGTAGGTTTGGCCTTAGCTGGCGGTTTAGTTCCAGCTGGACGGCTCGCTGTTCCCTCTCTGGTTGCCGTGGTTTTTAATTCAGGGTCCTTCTTCGGGACTTCAGAGGCATCCTTCATCCTGTAGGTGACATCAAATCCGCCCGCCGTCACACTGAGGTCGGACACGAACTGCACCAGCATCTCGTTGCCATCGGAATAGATCGTCCTGAAACAAAATAAAACAGCAAGGGCTATTAAAAGGGTCAGGCCACCAAAAAAACGATTCTTCCGTCCTGGAGAGCTGGTGAGTAGACTCACCAACCGGAATCTAAGATCTCCTGAGGACAACAGTGGTGACACCTCTGCCAAAGTTCTCAGCTCCATCCACCTCCTGCAGCTAAGTCTTACTTCTTCTGCAGAACTTTTTCACAAGTTTTAATAATTAAGAACTCACTAGGAGTTCTGGGTGGGCACTTGGCCAAGAAGTCTCAGGGTCACCAACCCAAGTCAAAGTTCAATTGGCTGAGGTCCATCACCCAATAAACTGGACTTGTCACATGCCTGTCTATTTCTGGCTTCAGAACGTCATGTGACAGACATGTGACAATTGGGCTTGGTTGCTGAGATCCTAATTACATCTCCTACCATCAACCTGCCATCTTATCCAGGAACTGTTACATCTGTACAGCACTGCGGTATATGTCAGAGCTATATAAATGGGGGACACTCAGTGTGCTCTGTACAGCACTGCGGTATATCTCAGAACTATATAAATGTATAATAATAGTGTGTGAATGTGGGGGGACATTAGAGTGTAAGCTCCTCTGGTGACTGCGCTCACTGTGGCGTGGTGTCTCCGCAGTATTTTCCAATTTGATGGTTGTTGTCCGTCTCTCCGCCATTGAACGCGGCCAGGTAATCGTAGCGGCAGTAACTGTCCTCTTCAACGTCAAACTTTCCAAATGACAGCTCGATCACAGCTGATACCACTGGGGTAATTGGTCTTCGGCCAGTTTGGGCTCGTTATACTTCCCTGAGGCTTCTCCAGCTTCCCCCCACAGAAGAGGTTCTCTAAACCGACAGACACCCCAGAAAGAGAAAAATGATACAACATATAAATGTCTCCCTCAGAAGGACGGGTAGACTCATGGCCCCCTTCAGTCTGTGGGGTGAGGAGTGGACTCATGGCCCCCTTCAGTCTGTGGGGTGAGGGGTGGACTCATGGCCCCCTTCAGTCTGTGGGGAGAGGAGTGGACTCATGGCCCCCTTCAGTCTGTGGGGTGAGGGGTGGACTCATGGCCCCCCGTGGTCAATGTCTCACCGTTAAGCGCTGGCGCTCCGGCAGAGTACCAGGCTATGAAGCCGCGTCCTCCGGTTTCCTCGTCTGTTCCCATCTCCAGCATCATGTGGGGTCCAGAAGACATGATGGCGCCGGGTCGGAAGGTGCCGCAGACTCGCGCCAGCCTCTGGGAGGTCTGACTGTGCCCGTTGTAGATGTTGAGATAGTCGTATCTACAGCTCGGGTCCGACTCCATATCCAGGAGGCGGAAGGACAGAATCACAATGTGATCATCGGGAACCTGGAACAAGGAAAGACGCCACTTAAAGGGTAACTCCTCTCTGATTACAAAATCAATGCGTTGCCATGGAAAAAGGATCGGCTACAACACAGGAAATGGCGGGGACTCCCCCAAATATGGGTGGAGCTTAGCTGGATTATGGGTTTAACCTAAAGCTGGACTCCAGGCAGATATTGTAATACAAGCTGGCTAAGTACCTGAACTTGGCCTGGTATCAGACTCTATACAGCAGAGCTCTGACTGTGAAAGGGGGAAGCAGCAAGAGGTGCCAATCAGTTGTGTTGCAGTGCTCATGTGCTAACAAGGAACCTAATAGGAGGAGAGAGCAGAGTGACAGAGAGATGAGCACATCATTCTCCTGCTTCTCTTGTCACTTTGCAATCAAAGGCCAAGGGAGGAACAAGACCTGTAAGACCTACTGACCTAGGGCAAAAGAAAAATCAAGTCTCCTTTCCTGCCAGGCAGGGCTGTGCTGTGTAGCAGAGCTGTGTAATTCTCAGGACTGGATGGACAAATACAACTTCTGCTGTATGTGTATTTATCTGCGTGTGGAGCTGTTTTCCTGGTTCAGCTTTATTACAACTACAAGCGCCACCCTTACCGTGATCTTCCAGACACATTTCTTGTTGTGCGGGTAGTAACTGGGGAATCCTTCGCTGGCCACATACCCAGAATCCCCTGTGAGGTCTCCTCCGCACAGGAACACCGGCCTGGAGGTGGGGGAAGGGAAAGGTGAAAATTTATTCATTATATTTTATTTTATTTTAAACAACTCGTCCCAAAAATATTCACTATATGTGTATTCTGAGCTAGGGGTAGGTGTCAGGGTTAGGGGTCAGTGTCAGGGTGAGAGTTAGGGGTAGGTATCAGGGTGAGCGTTAGGGGTCGGTGTCAGGGTTAGGGGTATGTATCAGGGTTAGTGTTAGGGGTCGGTGTAAGGGTTAGGGTTAGGAGTAGGTATCAGGGTTAGAGTTAGGGGTCAGTGTAAGGGTTAGGGGTAGGTATCAGGTTTAGGGGTAGGTGTCAGGGTGAGAGTTAGGGGTAAGTGTCGGGGTTGGAGTTAGGGGTAGGTGTCAGGGTGAGAGTTAGGGGTAAGTGTCGGGGTTGGAGTTAGGGTGAGAGTTAGGGGTAAGTGTCGGGGTTGGAGTTAGGGTGAGAGTTAGGGGTAAGTGTCGGGGTTGGAGTTAGGGGTAGGTGTCAGGGTTAGGGGTCGGTGTCAGGGTTGGGGTCGGTGTCAGGGTTAGAGTTAGGGGTCGGTGCCGGGGTTAGGGTTAGGAGTAGGTATCAGGGTGAGAGTTAGGGGTAAGTGTCGGGGTTGGAGTTAGGGGTAGGTGTCAGGGTTAGGGGTCGGTGTCAGGGTTGGGGTCGGTGTCAGGGTTAGAGTTAGGGGTCGGTGCCTGGGTTAGGGTTAGGAGTAGGTATCAGGGTGAGAGTTAGGGGTAAGTGTCGGGGTTGGAGTTAGGGGTAGGTGTCAGGGTTAGGGGTCGGTGTCAGGGTGAGAGTTAGGGGTAAGTGTCGGGTTTGGAGTTAGGGGTCGGTGTCAGGGTGAGAGTTAGGGGTCGGTGTCAGGGTTAGGGGTAGGTGTCAGGGTTAGGGGTCGGTGTCAGGGTGAGAGTTAGGGGTCGGTGTCAGGGTTAGGGGTAGGTGTCAGGGTTAGGGGTCGGTGTCAGGGTGAGAGTTAGGGGTCGGTGTCAGGGTTAGGGGTAGGTGTCAGGGTTAGGGGAAGGTGTCAGGGTTAGGGGTCGGTGTCAGGGTGAGAGTTAGGGGTCGGTGTCAGGGTTAGGGGTAGGTGTCAGGGTTAGGGGTCGGTGTCAGGGTGAGAGTTAGGTGTAAGTGTCGGGGTTGGAGTTAGGGGTCGGTGTCAGGGTGAGAGTTAGGGGTCGGTGTCAGGGTTAGAGTTAGGGGTCGGTGTAAGGGTTAGGGTTAGGAGTAGGTATCAGGGTGAGAGTTAGGGGTCGGTGTCAGGGTGAGAGTTAGGGGTCGGTGTAAGGGTGAGAGTTAGGGGTCGGTGTAAGGGTTAGAGTTAGGGGTCGGTGTCAGGGTGAGAGTTAGGGGTAGAGTTAGGGTTCGTGTTAGACAAAAAGGAAGATGTCACCAGCACTCCAAAAACGAAAATAACAGCAATTAGATGCTCATTTATTGACAGATGCTGTCTCTCATTGGCAAGCGCTTTCGGGGCCACACAGGGTCCCTTTCGTCAGGCTCAGAAGGTTCGAGTTAGGGTTATCGTTAAGGTTAGGGTTCGAGCTAGTGTTAGAATTAGGGTTAGAGTTAGGATTATCAGTAAGGTTAGAGTTGGGATTGGCTTTGTTTATGAACAAAAACAGTTTCGATGAATATTTGGAGGGGAGTTTTTGGTTGTGTACATGAATATTCTTTTTTGGGAAGCCCTGCGCTGGAATGTAGATGGACTAACATTGTAAATTCTGCAACTCCATCTACAGCCAGCAGAGGGCGCTACAACTACAGCAAAATCTCACTTTCCATTTCATGTATGTACATTACATATCTATCACCATCCACCCCTTTATCCACCCGTACCTCCATCCCTCCATCCATCCCTCCATCCAATCCCCCCCTCCCCCCATCCCCCCCCCCTTCCACCCGCCCCTCCATCCCTCCATCCATCCCTCCATCCACCCCTTTATCCACCCGTACCTCCATCCCTCCATCCATCCCTCCATCCGTCCCTCCATCCCTCCATCCACCCCTCCATCCCTCCATCCATCCCTCCATCCATCCCTCCATCCACCCACCCCTCCATCCCTCCATCCATCCCTCCATCCACCCGTCCCTCCATCCACCCGTCCCTCCATCCATCCATCCATCCATCCATCCATCCCTCCATCCATCCATCCATCCATCCATC